CAAAGGTTTCAGTTTTGCATGAAAGTAGAAACTACTTAAAGAGCGTGTTTTTGGACATATTCCACCCAAAAAAGTTTTGGCACATAATTGAAAGCAAAAACACTCCTAAAACAAATAGCCTTATTGTTTCAGAAAAGCCTGACTTGGTTTGTTTGAGAGAATTTAATTTATTGATACAAAAACAAGGAAATGAAAACACGGGCAGTTAAGAAAATAACATAGAACATAACTTTATTCAGCGCTATACCGTGAAACGAATTTTTCAGTCCATCTTCCTTCTTTAACTCCTTTTACTAGCATCCTGCATAACACCACGAGATGTTAAAAATAGCAGGAATGTTATTTGGGAATAATGTGACAAATGGAGTGCTTAATTGTGTGTAAAAAGAGCAGGGAGTAGAAGAGACGAACTCATTCTTCCGTGTTTTAAATCTTATGTCTCCAAAAGCACGAGATACAGAAATGTCTCCACATACGCGTCCATCACGAATCTACGAAACAATGTTCGAGTTTGTTAAAACAAGACTCACCACAAGTGTGAGACTAGCATGTTGAAGGTTTTAGGCACTGATTAGAGAGAGCTCAGCATATGAAACTAACCACAGTATGGCTGCTTAATACTAAAAAAATGATTATCTGTAAAGCAACATAAAGATGACACCCAAGTGAAAGAGAACATGGCAGTTATTGCAATATTTAGTTCTTACGGAAGCAGGATGACTTAATCTATGATCATTAACTTAGAATGCGAAGGCACTCAGCGGCACAACCAGGAAACAGATGCAAGGACCCCAAATGAATCAAACAATACACAAATATTTACAAGAGGGGCAAAACTATAGCATTAATTAACTATTTTCGTTGGAATATCAAGGACATGCATATGCAAGTATTATCCAATGGAAAAAGTAGAATGTTGTAGAAGAAATCATGCTGCAAAATAATGGATGATTTGTCGGAGACCAAGCCTGTGGCAACTAGCATTCGTTAGCCATGTGGTCTATGTATTGTAGACGTAACTTCTCGATAAAGGCTACTCTAAAAAAACAACTTCTTGAAAAAATCTCTCAAACTTGCAGTGTACCCCTAAACCACAAACATGCGGCTGCCAACAAAATGTAGGAGTTTCCTAGATGTGCTAGATTTTCAGCAGGACTTTTGTGTGATTGTTGCCCATATACGGTAAACAGATAACGATTTATATGACAAAAGGAGCATGTTTATTTGTGTGTGGGAGTAAAGAATTAAGATAATGTCATGGTAAGCGGCCCATATTCACAGAGCATCCTGATACTTTTAAGGGTACAACTACAGTAGTTCATCAGAGGCCACGAGACTTGCCCTTCCATTATGTAAAATTAGAACCAGGTAGTTCAGGTAAGGCAATTCAGCAGAACTATGGAAGAGGAAACACACCCATCCACCTGCTGCCCTAATCCGCTTGACCTCTTCAAGGGATGTTTTGTTGTTCCCGTATGGTCGATGAAAATTTGTCAGAGACTGAGGTCTTCCACCACGCGATATGACCTGCTAATCAAAATCGTCGGCCATCTTATTATCACCAACCAACAAAAAGTTTTCAGACAATTAAACGTCAATCTAGAATAAAGTTTGAATGTCACATTGCTAAAAATGCTACTACCAAGCAGGAGTCGCCAATGTGCGAGACAACGAGGACATCGTTCCTCAGAAACAAGGCCGTGGCCGTGGCACCAGAGTCGTCTTCCTTATCCATTTGCTGAAGCCTATGAAGAAGGAACAACGAAGCTTGTAAAATGTCAGAACTGAAAACTTCCATAGCTATGTAAGAAACTGGACAAGGAAGCCTCCGAAACACAGCTATGCAAGGAAATGAGAGAATTCCCTACATGCCACTTGTAAGTAGATCAATTCCCTCTAGACCACATACAAAGACATGCCAATGGATAACAGTTTTGAATCCCCTTCATGCTGTTGTGTTATCCTCCATTTAGAAGAGCTCTGTTAAGTCACATAAAAGTTGCTGTTTTCCCAAAAACATATAATTAAAAAAACCTTTGATGAGAAGTCGTTGCTCGAAGAAATGAAAAAAAGAAAACGTCCACTATGAATATGGCATAGCACGATAAAAGTGGTATAGAGAGAACTATTGTATGCTTAGCATATCATGGAGGGAACTGCATCAAATCTGCAATGCAGGAGCAAAATGGTCTTTTCACACATAATGGAGCCTGTACTAACAGGCAGTTTATGGAATGGCATGAAGGGAAGTAGGAAACTCAAGCACCTTTTACTCATAAAACTATTATCCAGTGGCATGTTTTCTTTACCGAAAAAAAAAACATAGTGAACTGATCTTCCTGTCAGTGGCATGCGGGGACTGTATCCATTAAAATGGGTAAACGATCCTACAGAGCCTGACCAGGTGGAGAGGTTGGCGTCCATGGTGGCAAAGGCACGCCTGATCGAGTCCGTGATGGCCTCGAGATTCTTGGTGTTAAGCACCGCGCCCCCGTCCAACGCGGCCGCGCATTCCTTGAACAACTCGTCCCTGCAACACACAAAAAAAAATCGGGTCAAGTGACCGTGAAACGTGCGACACTGCAGCTCAAGAAAGAGATGATCGGTGCGTGCGTGCCTCAGGAACTGGACGGTGGAAAAACCGGCGTGGCCGTCGAGGACGGCGGCGAAGGAGAAGCCGTGGAGGAGGGAGTCGGGGCGGAGGACGACCTCGTCCTCCATCTCCTCGCGAGCTCCCTGCAGCTTGGCGCTGCCCCACCGGATGGCCTCCAGCTCCGACGACGACGAGGAGCCCGCCGCCACGCTTCCCGACGCCGTCACTTGGCATCGCGCAGCGGAGGCAGCAACCCGGCCGCAGCACAGGAGGGATCCGACGCCGGCGCCGGCGGAGTGGGCGGCGAGCGGCAGCCGCGGAACACGCGGGCTCAGCAGCGCCATACTAGTGGTGTGATATTTTTATTTTCTTTCTCGAGATATACTTATTCGATTGAGAAAATATTCCTCGCGTTCGACTCTCTCCCCCCCTCTCTCTCTCATGGAGTTTGGATTTGGACTTTGGAGGGATAAGAGGCGGGCGGCACCGTGGATTCCCCGGCGAATAGCGTCTGCGGCTGACGCTCTCTTGGCCTCTTGGGTGGTTAGGTCGCTCGCTGCAAGCAAAACCGTCTGCCAAAAAATTCTACGAGACCAGGTCTCTCACCAGCCGGTTAGACCCATTTCGATAGCTGTGATATTGCCTTCATAATCTTAAAGCACGAACCCCACCTCCTGTCAGTTTCGATTCCCAACTACGCATTCCTGCTGTACCATGTACATATCTTAAGTTGTTGTATTACATACGTATGCAACTTGTCCTTCTTTTGTTTTCTATCATGGCGGCGCCAAACGACCTCGTCGCCGACAGCTACGCGGCACCATGCTACCATGGTTTTTCGTCCATGGTCCCGCCGTACCACGTCGTCGCCGGCGGCCAGTCGGACTACTCGACCATGGCGGCCGGGCGGACTCCTCTTTGACGGTGGTTGTAGACATTGTTGCGGGGGGAAGGACCAACTGCTCGTCGACAGCGGCCGCGCCCCAAGACGCTTCGAATGCTCCTTGTTGCTCTACCTCAACGTCATGAACATGTTCGTGTCCCTGCTGCAACCGGTGCGGGCACCGGATAGCTGTGGGCACCTGAGCCTCCTTGGCTTGTTTTGAGTGCTTTTGCTTGTCCATCTCAGAACCTAATGAGTGCCCACAGACCGCTGTAGTAGGCATGTACAGGTGTACAAGTACTGCTTGCTTGCGTGCATACGTGAGTTCGCTGGAATGTAGCCAAGTTATCCGTGTGTATGAAATTCATGTGTTGAAACTTGAAACTGCTTCAAGTTTAATTCTATAATTTTAATCCTATAACAGTTTGGCCAAGTATCAGACTACTCTAATCAAGAGCTAGCATTAGCATGGGACTAATGGAATCGATCGACCAAACTAGACTATGCACATATATTCATGGAGTTCGCCGGCACCAATGTTAGCGAATGCAACGAAATGGAGCAGTCCGAAGCGTCTTGGCGTCCCACCGCCATCGAGACGAGGAGTTGGTCCTGCCGCCCGCGTTGATGTCATGGCGCATATCCAACATCGAAGAGGTGTCCGCGCGGCCAGCAACATGGTGTGCGGCCGCCGTGGTCGAGCAGTCCAACTGCTGCCGTGGTCGAGCAGTCTGACTGGCCGCCGGCGACAAGGTCGTTTGGGCCCGCCATGGTCGAGAACAAAAGGAGGAAAGCGTACCCTAACTCAGTCATGGGAGTTGTGTACGTATATAAGACAATTGCTTAGGATAAGTATAGGGTATAGTAGGAATCGGTAGTTGGGAATATAAAAACCCTGCAACCAAATTTCCCTCAAGTGGATGACCTAAGGTTTATCAATCCGTGGGAGACGTAGGATGAAGATGGTCTCTATCAAACAACCCTGCAACCAAATAACAAAGAGTCTCTTGTGTCCCCAACACACCCAACACAATGGTAAATTGTATAGGTACACTAGTTCGGCGAAGAGATGGTAATACAAGTGCAATATGGATGGTAGACATAGGTTTTTGTAATCTGAAAATATAAAAACAGCAAGGTAGCAAGTGGTAAAAATGAGCGTAAACGGTATTGCAATGCTAAGAAACAAGGCCTAGGGTTCATACTTTCACCGGTGCAAGTTCTCTCAACAATAATAACATAATTGGATCATATAACTATCCCTCAACATGCAACAAAGAGTTACTCCAAAGTCACTAATTACGGAGAACAAACAAAGAGATTATTGTAGGGTACGAAACCACCTCAAAGTTATCCTTTCTGATCGATCTATTCAAGAGTCCGTAGTGAAATAACATGAAGATATTCTTTCCGTTCAATCTATCCTAGAGTTCGTACTAGAATAACACCTTAAGACGCAAATCAACCAAAACCCTAATGTTACCTAGATACTCCAATGTCACCTCAAGTATCCGTGGGTATGATTATACGATATGCATCACACAATCTCAGATTCATCTATTCAACCAACACAAAGAACTTCAAAGAGTGCCCCAAAGTTTCTACCGGAGAGTCAAGACGAAAATGTGTGCCAACCCCTATGCATAAGTTCACAAGGTTACATAAGTCGCAAGTTGATCACCAAAATATACATCAAGCGGATCACGTGATATCCCATTGTCACCACAGATAAGCACGTGCAAGACATACATCAAGTGTTCTCAAATCCTTAAAGACTCAATCTGATAAGATAACTTCAAAGGGAAAACTCAATTCATCACAAGAGAGTGGAGGGGGAGAAACATCATAAGATCCAACTACAATAGCAAAGTTCGCGATACATCCAGATCGTGTCGAATCAAGAACACAAGAGAGAGAGAGAGAGAGAGAGAGAGAGAGAGATCAAACACATAGCTACTGGTACATATGAGGGAGTCCTATACTAAGGGGTCCTCGGGCGTCTGGCCTGTTATAAATGGGCCGGACTGATGGGCTGTGAAGATATGAAGACCGAAGACTGTACCCGTGTTCGGATGAGACTCTCCTTGGCGTGGAAGGCAAGCTTGGCGAACAACTATGAAGATTCCATATTATGTAACCAACTCTATGTAACCCTAGATCCCCCCCGGTGTCTATATAAACCGGAGGACTTAGTCCGGATAGGGGATACTCAATACCGTAGTCATACAGGCTAGACTTCTAGGGTTTAGCTATTACGATCTCGTGGTAGATCAACTCTTGTAACACTCATATTCATCAAGATCAATCAAGCAGGAAGTAGGGTACTACCTCCATAGAGAGGGCCCGAACCTGGGTAAACATCGTGTCCCATGTCTCCTGTTACCATCAACCTTAGACGCACAGTTCGGGACCCCCTACCCGAGATCCGCTGGTTTTGACACCGACATTGGTGCTTTCATTGAGAGTTCCACTGTGCCGTCGTCGTAGAGGTTGATGGCTCGACTTATCGTCAAGGAAAATATTACCTCCGGAGGAGCTCTGGCCTCGGGCCAAACACTCTGGCTGGGCGATTTTACCATGATCGCCCGCTCGGCCTCTGAGCCAGCGAGGATGACCTCTCGAGTCATCGAAAAACGCATCTGCGTTGATTCTGAATACGCCAAACGAATGGATCCTACGGAGTTATCGTCTTTGAACAAACTCCTAGATCGCATTACCACCTTGGGAGTCGCTACACACTATGATCGGATTGGGCTTAAACCCGACCAGAGAGAGATTAATTCTCCACCGATCACCCACCAGATAGCGGTAGTCGAGGAGAAAGATAACCCTTCCTCTATATCAAGGACGAATTATGTTCGGATCTCCGACCTCGAGAAGCCGGACACCTACCGGAAGAAGGACACGCCTTGCCCTCCGAACTTAGAGTCGGACAGTAGGCTTCAAAAATCAGAAGACACTCTGGAGCCCGGACTGTTCAGTCTGGAAAAACCTCAGACTCTGGATCATCGATCGGGTCAGGGTTCAGATCCAATTCCACCCACCCACCCAGACATAAGTGCTCTCACGAGCACAAAAAAGCAGTCCCGAGAAACGGTCCACCACTTCTAGGCCAGATTTCTCCTTGTCAAGGACAAGGTCAAGGATTGCCGCGACGAGGACGCGTTATCGGCGTTCTGCAATAACTGCACGAACAAAGGACTCCTCAATGCCATTAATCGCCGCCACATACTACACTTCACTGACTTGGCAACTATTGTACAGAAGTACAGCGCAACAGAGAGCGCCTGGAGAGATCACACGGGTTGGGAGCTATCGGCCCCAACTCAACCACCGGTCCAGGCAAAAAGGGTACACCCTGTAACGCGCCCAAACCAATAGCCAAGAAATACAAACCCATTACGCGGCGTGGAACCATTCTGGAGGGATGGCTTGATGGCCCCTGCAAAATACACACCACACCAGATACTATACCAACCCACAGCCTTAGAGCATGTTGGATACTTCGGCAGGTAGCCAAAAATGGCGAGGACATCCTCACCAAGGACATCCTGGAGCAACACCCTCCAGAAGATGACGAACCCAAAGTACTGACAGTCTTTGAGACATTCAGTTCAAACAATAGGAGAAAAAGGGCACTCCGTGAACTCGCCGAAGTCTGCCAGATCGCAACAATAAACCCCTGGAACGACACAATGATAACCTTTAACGCTGGCGACGAACCAAAACACAGGACAGTCCGAGCACCAGCTGCCTTGGTCCTCAGCCCAATTGTGAACGGCTTTCGGCTCACCAAGGTTATCATGGACGACGGCAGCAGACTAAACCTCATCTATGAGGATACAATACGAAAGATGGAAATAGACAGGAGCCGCATTGAGCAAAGCAACACGACCTTCCGGGGAATCATTCCCGGTCGGGAGGCACGGTGTGCGGGAAAAATCACACTCGACGTGGTATTAGGCACGTCGGAGAATTATCGGTCCGAAGAAATAACCTTCCAGGTGGCCCCCTTCAACGTCGGATATCATGCCCTCTTGGGGCGAGATGCATTCACGCGCTTTCACGCAATACCCCATTACGGGTACATGAAGCTTAAGATGCCCGGGCCCAACGACATAATCACTCTAGTTAGTGATCCGGACATAGCACTCCGCACCGAGAATAAAACCGCGTCCCTGGCCCTTGAGGCATTATCTGAAGCCCTCACGACCGGAGAATTAACCGTGCTGCGCTCCACAGTGGAAAGAGATGATGTGGTCCTAGACAAACGACCCAAATCCACCTCATTCAAGTCGACAGAAGAAGTAGTCAAATTCCAAGTCCACCCAACGGACCCCAAGAAGACAACATCCATAGGAGCACAACTAGACCCAACGGTTGACGCCGCTCTACAAGAGTTCCTGCGCGAGAATTGGGATATATTCGCCTGGCACCCTTCTGATATGCCAGGAATCCCAC